CGGAAATGGTTGACCGTTCGAAGCGATACAATGAAACAGCTACAATAAACTCCCTCGAGTATCTTCTTAAGGTGAGTTATTCAAAATCTTAGTATAAGGTATAATGAAGCAAATTGTTTTAGATCTATAAAGATCCTCCAAGTGATTTTAAAGAACTTGTGAAGGAATTGGTTGAGAAGGAATATGCAGGGTAAGAGCTTTTTTTTCTGCCAACAAATAGTTTATTATCAAACAAGGGAAAAAATCTTATCAGATGGGAATTTAGTCGTTAGCATCCTCACGTAAATCTTATCATGACCGTTAGTGTACTCACCGTATATCAACTACAGAAAATGCATTTGCTGAGCTGATCACAGATGAAAAGGTTCAAGCTATAGTGATGAGCAATCAGCTACCTCTTCCAAGGATGTGATCTCTATTATATTGAATCAAGATTATAGTAGATTCCAATCAATAGAAGATGTTCCATGTAATAAAAGAGAACGGTGATAAGGTGATAGGATTGCACGTGGTATTAAACGGAAATCTACGCTATCCAATGAGTTATAATTTGGTCACTTTAGTCAGAATTTAGTTGTCCCATCTGGTAAATTGAGTATTTGCGAGAAATCTAGCGCGGCCCTTAATAAATTAGCTTTTGTAATTATAGTAATACTATGAAATCTAGATTACGAAGTCGTGTCCGAGGATGGATAGATGAAAGCAGTCCGCCTTCATTCCCTGTTATGAACTCCAAGGGTTTCAAAATGGCTCTTGAAAAAGCAGTCAATCGTCTAGACGCAGCTATCAAACCACTTGCGGAGCAGGAACGCTCCGAAGAGCCTATGGAAGTAGGCGATTCAAATATCGAACTTGAGACAGAAGAGGCGAGTTGAATTAAAGTTATTTCGCACGTAGATTTCTGAAAGAGTAATTTCAGATAAACAGAGATGATCAAGCTGAGCGAATATATGAATGGTCAGTGCCAGTACAACCGCGCAAAACACCGAGGCCACAACGTCCTAGCTCTCGCATACAATAGAAATCATATGTTCCCATTGATTTTAAAATATGATAACGGTATGCATGCGACATTAGCTTAAGGTCTAAATTGGTTTTCTTTACACTGGATTAACTCTAAACTGTTGTATGATTTTCAAATTAAGAGATCAACCATTTATAAAGTGATGAACACGGGTTGAACGAACGTGTACCCATCATGTTCATAATAGTTTCTTTTTACAGAATTCGTAACAAATGGATAGGATAATGCTTTTATGA